CCTGGGTGCTCACCCCGCATTACCACATGTGGGCCATAAACCCAGGCCAGTGACAGCTTGGGAGTACAAAAAATTACTCCCTTAGTTTTAGACCCATAAAATCACACCGAAATCGGAAAGGGCTCGGACAATTCTGGGTTGGTAGATGTTTCTTCCGAAATGGCAGCACACCAAGCCCGACATAGTCACAGTTGCCTTAGGCTCATATAGAACGTTTCCAGCTAGAACATTTAGAGTGGCCACTAGCCACTGTTTGGAATAGCAGGGTCCCCAAGCTCAGCAAGTGTCATCAGAGGCCAGTCCCCTTGTGTGGGATGTTGCCGGAGCGTGCAATGTGATGGCTAGTCAGCAGAACTCAGCGCCCCTTATTCACAACCTGATTTCCACTGATTTACTGTCACTTAGAGTATAATGTTTGCTTTTGTAGAAGGAGATCCTGCCTTTTGTCACAGCAGGGATGAGCCTGGAGGGCGTTATGCTAAGCCGAAGAAGCCAGGCACAGAAAAACAAATACCGCATGATTTCACTCATGTGTGGAATCTAAAAACGCTGAATTCATAAAAGCAGAGAGTAGAATGGTGGTCGCTAGGGGCAGGGAGGCAGGAGGGAGAAGCGGGGAGACGTTGGTCAAGGGTAACAGGCTTTCAGGAGGAATAAGCGCTGAGATCTAGTGTATAGCATCACGACTATAGTGAGCAATATCGTGTTGTGTACTTGAGATTTGCTAAGAGAACAGATCTTAGGTGTTCTCACCACACACACATAATGGTAACTAGGTGAGGTGAAGGATATGGTAATTGGCTTGATTGTGGAGATCATTTCACAGTGGATACATCAAAACATCACATTGTATTTTAAAATATGAATTCAATTTTTGTCTGTTTATTATACTCTAATGAAGCTGGGCAAATAATGAAGTTTAGTTCTGTGACAATTGCTTGTTATTTCAAGGAAGTCTTATTCTAGTCGTTGAGTTGGCCCAACTGTTGTGCCAAGAAGCCAGGAAAGGCCTTCAGTGGGCCTGCCTTTAGGCCGTGCAGAGCAGGGGCGGGACGGGACGGACGGGACGGACGGGACGGACGGGACGGGTGGGGGTAAGCTTCCCTGCCTTCCCTGGGCGCTTCCCGCGCGGCTCTGGCCTGCGCACCCCCGCACTGTCCGGGTACCTCCTACCTTTGGTGGCACCGCCGCACTGTCCGGGTACCTCCTA